TCACGCTGAACCAGTAATGTGAGCGTGCTAAAAATGCAGCTTAGCCTCTCTGTGCAGATTCGACTCACTGAAGAATATCTTCACTTCTCTGACAAGTTTATAGCTCTGAATGGAGCCATTAGAAGACCTGTCTGACTCTTTAAATGAGTATCACATTTTCACAGCACAATACTGTAACTGTGAAGACTATGTTTTAATGGAGCGCAGCTCTGTTTCTCTGTAACTTTAAGTAGTTTTTTTTTATTTATTAAAAGCAATAATTCGGAAATCCTTTAGAGAAACAAATATATAACTTCTCACAGAGTTTGCAGAGGAGAGCTGCAAAGGATTGTCGACATGAGAGGATTTTTGGGGTGTTAGTGACACAGTCAGGAAACAAGGATGGAGAGAGAGAGGAACCCCTGTTGTGCTCGATTGACAACTGGGCCCCGGGAGACATGTCGGAGAAAAAGATTTTGACTTAAAAAGGCAGTCTAACAGCAGCCTTGAATGAACCATTTTTCAGTCCATTTAGTACAAAATGATGTGTTAACTTACAGGCAGCAGTTTGTATGTGACCAAAAGCAGGAAAGCAAAAGTTTTGCTTTGCTAATACGCTCTGTTGGCTTCTTAGGGAATGCATATTCACAGAAAAGCAAAGAAAACAGCCTGGATTTGGCTTTTCTTGCGCTTATTTTAAAAAACCTCAATTAAAAAACAAACAAACAGCTACTACTTGCAAATTCAGATGTCTTGGATCAAAAAAAAGAGAAATGTAATATTCAGTCTTGCTTTTAGCATGATGAATGGCACATAATGACTTTAATATACAAGTATACCTAATCAGTGGAGCGTACCAGCAAACAGAAATATATAAAACTAAACGCAGCTTCACCAGCTTCTCTCAAACCCCCAAAACAGTCCTGCAGCACAAGATTAAAGAGGTTTGACTCATTTCTGAAAAGCCTGACAGTACCAGTGTGGAGCCAAGCCTTTTTAGACAATAAGTCAAATTTTGTAATCAATTCTATAATTCCTGGGAAGTCAGTGAGTCCAGTTTTTGTGTCCTCAGATGGAAGATTTTCCCCTTTCATTCTGGCCATGGCAAACTGAATTAATTAGATTGGTCTGACAGGCTATGAATGCATGTCCTCGAAGCCATAACAACCAGAATTGTCTCAGCGTGATTTCAACAATACTCCTGTTACTGTAGAAGTAGCTTTGCGGCGAGTGGGAGAGCAACTCGGTGTCTGTTTTTATGAATGAAGCAACATGCCAGTGTCAGGGTTATGATTTCTGTGGATTAACTGGACTGTTCCGTGCTTGCCTTAATGCAAGGCCTCTTTTTCTGGGAAGATATGATGCGGAGAGAGAGATCATTTTTCTAACAGCTATCAATAAGGACACTGTACCGCTCTTGGACTTTCTGAAAAACAGGGGATAAAGACTCTGACTCACTTGGAACTCTGACGACAGTCTTTCAATCACAGATGAACTGTTGTTCAGCGTTTGCTGTATACAGCCTTGTTTGGTTGAGCCTCAAGCTTAGTCTCTGTGTGTTTCCAGCCCTTGGATGAATTAAGGGAAACCAGTCAAAAATCTTACTCTTGACTGGTTTGCACTTATTAGAGTATGAGCTGTCACTGGATGAGCACTGTAACATCGAGGTCTAAAGCAATTGGCTGAGTGTTTAGATGTTGTACACCTGTCATTTAAGGAGGCAATACATTGAGACATTCTGTTTATTCAAGCTCAGCCTTTATAATCAACATATAAAATGTATACTGTTTAGTGGAACAATTATAACTACAAAGCAGCCATAAGCAAACGGTGAGATTAATAATCAAGAGAAAGTGCATTTAAAGTGATTTAGTACTTGATGTCACTACTGTACATAGTCCAAGCAAACCGTTAGACCACTGAAAGGCACTGAAAAGTAAACATTGAGCAAAGATTAAAAAAAAGAAACCAGTAAAAGTAAAAGTACTATATAAAATAGTGATATAGAGTTGGGGAAACAGTTGTTTGATCCCCTGCTGAATTTGTATGTTTGCTGAGTTCCAAAGAAATGAAATAACTTTTATATAGTGTGTTTTAAGGGATTTTAATGGTTAATATTCTGTCTCTCTACATTAAAATGAAACTACCATAAAAACTAGATTCTGTGAGTAAATGTATTAATTCAGCAGGAGATCAAATAATTATTTCCCCCACCCTAAATATATTCTATTTTTCTGAGGGTACAGTGTTTAAGTTTCCTTAAGTGCACCAAAGGAAACACAAAGTTTAATTTGGATTTGAAAATGGCTGCAGTTATGTAAGGCGTTTCCACTGGTGTGTTTTTAGAAGGTGCTGTCCATCTCATATCTATTTCCTACTTCCAACATGCAGAAAAAGAACTTACCAGTCCAACAAGACAGCCTTGTTCACATAGGAGGGATTAAGCCTATTATAGTAAAAATAAGTGGACAGATGTCCCACCTCCCACCTTATGACAGCTGTGATTGAGTCTGGTGTCGATTAACTCATTCTGGGTTTTTTGTATAACTGTCTCACCTGTGTCTCTTCTGTTCTGCAGTATACAGAGTATTTCACTGACAAACACAAACACCCAGCGGTTTAGCAAAAAATGTTGAGGACAGGACATAAACAGGCAATTCTGCAGACACACAATTTCACTAAGCTCTCATTTGAAATCAGTCCACAGACTGGCAGAAACACAGTCTTTGTTTTCTCACAGCCACTCCTTTCTTACAAGTTCATTTTAAAGAGCGTCAGTCTAAACAAATGTCTGTGTTCCAAGTGTCAGTTAAACTGTACACAACATGGTATGAAATTACAGTGAAGTAGATTCAATTTATTATGAATCTAATCATGAGGATAACATCAGTTTAATGCAAAGCTGGGAAACAAGTGGCATCCACCTGTCATTGCTCCCTGAAGTCATCATCTTTTGGTATACTACAATTTACCAGTTACTATTTTATTTCTGCTTTTTTTTTTAAAATTAGATTTTAACTTATGGATCTTATAATTTTACTATGCTACTGGTGCATTTCTTTTTGTTGACAAAGTGAATATTTTTAATAGTCACTTGCTATATCTTGTGTACATCTTATGGTCATAGAGCCATCAGCCCGATTAGATATTAACAGTCACATAGCAACAACTCCGTGCATTTAGTCATGTAGACATGGTCAAGACAATCTGCTGAAGTTCAAACTAAGCATCAGAATGAGGAAGAAAGGTTATTTGAGTCATAGTTGTTGGTGCCAGATGGACTTATCGGAGTATCTCAGAAACTGCTGATCTGCTGGTCTCTAGGCTGGTCAAAAAAAAAAAAAAAATCCAGTGAGTGTCAGTTCTCTGGGTGAAAATGCCTTGTTGATGTCAGAGGTCAGAAGAGAATACCAGACTGCTTCATCCTGATAGGAAGGCAACAGTAACTCATACAACCACTCATAACATGTAAGGCATGCAGAGGAGCATCTCTCATTGCACACATTGAACCTACAAGCAAATGAACTACAACAGAAGAAAATCAGTCCGAGTGCCATTCCTGTCAGCTAAGAACAGCAAAGCAAAGCTCACACGGGAGCACAATAATTGGACAACAGACTGGAAAAACGTTGCCTAAGGAGTCTTGATTTCTGCTATGACATCTGGGTGTTATGGTCAGAATTTGGCATAAACAACATGGAAACAATGATTTATCCTGCCTTGTATCAACAGTTCAGACTGGTGGTGGACCAAAATCTCTGAGAAATGTTTTCAGACCTTGTTGAATGTGTTCAGTTTCAAGAGAAAAACAGGACTGAACTGGGTACGAGCAAAGTTAGTTAATAAAGTTTAGTGGTTCTGAATCTCTGTGGTAGTTTATACTTTTTGAATTGCATTGTACTTCCAACTTAAATGAAATGAACCATCCATTCTCTTCCGCTTATCCTTTTCAGGGTCGCGGGGGGTGCTGGAGCCTATCCCAGCTGTTATAGGGCGAGAGGCAGGGTACACCCTGGACAGGTCGCCAGTCTGTCGCAGGGCCAACACACAAGGACAGACAACCATTCACACTCACATTCACTCGCACATTCACACCTATGAACCATTTAAATATTATTTTGCTTGCTTGCTCAGTGGAAAAGATAAGGTTACATACATTATTATGTTGTGGTTTTGTGCTGTATAAATAAATAAACAACTTTTTAATGAAGAAGATGTTATGAGGGTAAAATTATAAATGTTTTGTGCGACTGTTATTAAAAATGTTGTTGAAATGTACATTTAAGTTATAATTACAGGTATTTTCTTCACATTGAAGATAAAGATACTCAATTACCCAGGTGTCAGGCTACCCCCACTGACACGTGCTTTACCATTCTTGTACCATTCTTGTTATTCACTTACAAAAAGCACATTTAAGTGCAGACTGTTTCTCACACCAGGATGATTTTTGCAGAAAGCATTGTCTTTTGATTTGACTTGCACAGGTGCTTCTGTGAGTATCAACACAGTGACAATGGTAGAACAGATCTGTTCAGCTTTGAGTTTAATGCTCAGCCAGGGGTATTTGTTGTCTGTCAAAAGGCTGAAACCACATGAGGAAAACAGTAGAATTCACTTCTACACTTAGAGGTAAAACAGTTTATTGTACTTGGGTAGGCTGGCTCAGCAGAAGCAGAGATGTGCTTCTATATTTATTCCAAATCAGGGAGGTGTTCTGGTAATGTTTTATCAATAATACAAATCCCCTTGTTGCTCTCCATGTCAGCCAACAGTCTCGCTCTGTGCACACTGAGGGGAAGGCTGATTAAGGTTTCTTTGCACGTGTGGAAATACAGTTCAGCCTAGCTTGTCTGAGGTTGACAAGGAATATCAGTTAGTGCCTTAACTAGGTCAGGTTGTGCATTAAAGCTGCTGTAGGTTCTTACCGAAAGGGATGCAGCTTTTTCTGCAGCTGTGTGTGTGTGTGTGTGTGTGTGTGTGTGTGTGTGTGTGTGTGTGTGTGTGTGTGTTTTGCTGGTAGATCTTGTGGGATTCAGTATAATATAATGATAAAAAAACAATTCCCATCTCTTAAGTACTTCTCCACTTTCAAATGACTTATTCAGACCTTGTTTTATTCATTATATGCTAAACCCAATTTTCCCCTCCCAGTGGTATTTACACACTGAACATTTTTGCCATCTTTCTGCCAATAATTTACTGGACGATTCAACTCAAACAAATACAAAATCAACACAAACTGCTGTAAACACCATGACGTGAAATAGATGCTAATCAGCATAAAGCTTGAGCTGTGTTTCTAAGGAGAGATTGCAAAGCAGGATTTACATCTGCCGTTATGTGCGTATACTCCCATGAATACCTGGGTGCATCCATGTTTAATCTTCATGTGCACATGAATCCATCTAACACTTGCTTCTTCTGGGTCACAGTTGGAGTTGTGATCTCTGTTGTGGTGAAAAATGGTTCTAATTCTTGTATTTCCCATGTACTTTCCTTGCTCATCGTCTTCTTACAGGTGTTCTTACAGCAGATCATCCGCTTCCGCTGCACTGCACTGAACTTGCTCATATGTATCCCAAATCTTGGGAACGGGATTTGCTAGCTGTTTTTAAACACTGTGGCATTAACTAAAACTTTCACCATCTGGGGGCAGCATTTCACCAGGGACTGTGTGAGGTATTTTATTTTTAATTGTTTTGTTTTTTATTTATTTAACACTTATTACTTTCAAGCTCCACCCCCATTTCTTCAAAAGAATTTCCTTCCCCATACCACCCACGATGTGTTGTTAGTTGACTTGCTACAGTATCTTGTGGTAGAAAGTGGTACTACATGAAAGTGTGGCTCGGCCCTGTTGTAACTTTAATGTGTATATCTTCAACCAAATACACTGATGTTTGGACATGAGTGGTTATTTCAGAGTAGTTTAAAATAATTATCTTTAAGGTCCTTTTTTCTGCTTATTAATAATAATGGCTGTTCAAAAGAAGAATAACATGCAATAACATATTTCACGATGGGCAATATCGCCTCAAAATGAGATAAAGAAAATTTGCAGTACTGAAATTTCATGATGTAGAAAAAAGGAAAAAGCTGAATGTTTTATTGATGCTCGGAGTTCGCAGGCAGCAGCGTTTATGAGTAAATAAAGGGCATTTTCTGTCCTTCTTTTCCAATACTTTTCTGTCACTGGTGACAGTAACTCATTTAAAGTGGGATTTATATTGATACAAGGAGCCAGCACCAGCAGCAATATTGTGCAACATTAGTGACATCGCATTATATCCAGTGACACAACATAAGTCGGTGTACGCACAAAAAGTGCCTAGGTAGTGTTTACTTTTAAGCAACAGTACAATGATCCTACTACTATTAAACAGTTTAACACTAACTTAACCCTTTAACTCTTCAGGAGCCGGCACAACATTGTCACATAATAAAACAGAAACGTATTTTCCACCTGGGATGTTTTCCCTTGAGTTAAGCATTTAACCAGCTTCTTAAAGCCCTGCTTTTCCACCGTGTTACTTCATCAGTAATTTCCACCCACTGTTTGCTCTTCCAGTCATATGGAATCGAGCTTGTGAGTGCTCCAGTAATGCTCAGTGATGTGCATCTTTTGGGTTGGGTTGCTAGCTGCTAGTATCTCCTCCCTCGTAGCCTGGGTGTACTGAATGGTGTGTTTTTGGCTCAAGTGGGGAAACAAGTTTGTTGTTTTCACCTTTAGCAGGAACAGCTTTCTTGTGTATTGTTGGAGGTTGTTAAAGTAGCTCCCTTTTTAAACAATAGCAGTTTAGATACTATATCGTCATTGCATGCTGACATATGGCTCTCGCTCTCAGACATGCTTGTGCTTGCTTTATTGTTGCATAAACTACAGAAGTAAATGCAACGTGGCTCAGTCAAACAGGGCTCTTTTGAGGTTGAAATGTCCAGCCTCAATCTACCACGCTTAAAGCCATCTGCGCCAGAGAAACAGTATCATGACTGGTCATGCCCTTTGTCCCTAACTTCCAAACAAGCTGGGATTTGCTAAAAAAAAATGCTGCTGAGAAAGGCTGATTCTTCTTACAGATTTTCACCAGCTCATTAAATGGCCAGTATCACCAGCTGTTTTCACTCCTGATAAGCATGTGGGAGTGTTTCTGCTTTGAAATGGCATTAGTCTCCATTAGGAAGTATATTCAGTTCAACCTTCAACTGAGCATGTGAGTCTAAGACCCATCTTTCTAATTTCCCTTGCCTGGTTTTTTAACTTGTGGTTTTCCCTACTCTTTACTTTTATTGTTTTTTTATGGTGTTTAGTTTGGCATTGGTTGGGTTTAGTTAAAATAAACTACTTGTTTATGGTTTGAAAGAGCTTAAACTAAACCTTTCATATGTAAATCATTTTACAATAACAATTACAACTGGACTTGTTCACATAATTTTCTTTACATGTCTGCATAATCTGCTTTGCTGTGTTTATCATTGATTGGAATTTATGATAACAGTCTACTGCATCTGTTCATTGGTAACAGACTGAGGGTGCTAGCAATGTGTCTGATTAAAACATTGATAATGGCTGATGGCCAAATTTTTTGAAGCCAATTTTATTGTCTTGTTATGCTTTACCTAGAGCATTTGTTTTCATCTCGCCTTTGTAATACCAACAAATAAGGGATATTTCATTTCTAATTACGTGTTTTTCTTCTTCTCCTTGGCTCCAATGTACAAGTGTATCCAGTACCATCTTTGCAAAAACTGGTGACAAAAATTCTGTCCCAGCCAAAATAAATTGTGACCCACTTTCATATGAATAGTATAAACATGAATGACAGTTCCATTACTGGGATTATCAGTGATCTAATCATCAAAGATATAAAATTAAAACCGTTATTAAGCCATGATCTCTATTACAGCATCCCATAAAGCTTCATATGGTATTCTGTATCAATTTATAGTGGTGTTATTTAAAGCACACATACATAATCTTTTCCCGTTGTCATTTAATGCTGTGGAAACCCTAATGTAGCATGAAAAATGAGCCATTTAAAAAGCCTACAAGTCACAGAGTCCCTGCACTGGCTTTTTTCTCAAACGCTTCCAAGAAAGCTGTCGAAAGCTGTCTGAAGTTTCTGTGTTTGGGTCAGAACACTGCAGGTTTCAAGATGTTAATGCCAGCTTGCACATTCTGTACTAAAATCTTGACATCTGCCCAGCGTACGCAGAGTCCTGCCCCTCAGGAAGTGAGATGGGCTAGAGCCAGTCTGGTGCTATCTGGATATCCTCTCTCTTATCTACCACTTCCAGCATGTTTGGTACTGGATCTGTGCTGCTGCTCACATGATGGTGTTTTGCTATCAGGAAACTTTCGTTATGGAGCCCAGAGGGAGAAAAAGGGTTCGATACGTTTAGAAGAGTTTATTTTTGAAAGAGGATTATTATATGGGTCAGGATGGTAGATGCTACCCCACCATGACCTCAACCATTTAGAAACACACATCCTCCGCAATTACTTTATCTACTTGTTTGTCTGTCTGGTGGTCAACAGCTTCTGGCATATTTTGAAGAAGTTATTGCAAGATTTAATTTGACTTGTTTCATTCCTCCATGGGGCATATCACTCTGACTTGATTAGATGAAATGTACCGTGTCAGATTTACTATTGCACTAATTGTAATCCTCTTGTGTGATTATACTCGTATGAATACTTTCTCTTTGTATTCTTTTGGAAGTTTTTTCTTCTCTTAAAAAAGTTGAGCCGGGTTCGTGTCCTGAGCCTCTAAGTCCCTTTGAGTCATGTTTAATATTGGACCATATGAATAAACTTGACTTTACTTGGAATTCCAGATCAAGGCGTGTTTCATAGTTTGTTTTTGAGTCCACTTTCTGCCTAGCTGTCAAAACTTGCCTAAGAGGATTAATCCAGCAGACCTCGCTCTTTCATAACAAGTCACCCACCCCTGTCCTTGTGACTTCAAGCCTCTCGCTGTCATCATATCTTAATTATGATTTTTGGGTGATTGGCTTTCTCCTAATGAGGAGGAGCAGAATAAATTAATTTCATCAGAATGGTGCCGTGATCCTCTGTCATATTCCTGCACGTGCTTTACCAACATGCTCAGACTGAAGCCTGTCATTGTAGGCTCCTTTTTTTTTTTTTTTAAACATTTTTTGTGCAGGGTACTGAATTGCCTCCTTGGTAGATATCGCTTTTAATTTAAATAACTGGACTGTTTACAACCTACATTTAAAGTAAATTTGATGGTAACCGTTACAACCTAAACACCTGTTTCCTTAATAAGATTCCACTCTCTGTTTTGTAAAGCCACATTTCTGAAACATAAACTTAGTGCTTGAGGGGATATGGAAATGACAGGCTGTTTGTTATTCCATTCACCACTGTTATTCAGTCTAATACACACTGTGGGAAGCCAGAAAGGTGAGAAAGTATTGCTGAAGAAAATCCATTTTGCATTATTTCTCAGCTGGAGAGGGGATAAATTTGATCATGTCACCTTTGTTTTTGCTGAGATGGAAATGGCAACATGGAGAAGGGAAGGATTAGATTTTAAGAGAGGAGAGAGGGCTTGGATTTTGAGTTTTGAATCTAAGAGAAGACATACATCTCTTTTTCGTCTCTGAAACTTTTCCTTATCTAAACTAGTGCAGGTTTTCATGATGAAGTTTTTGTTTTTGTTTCTCTGTATGCCAAAAATGGACTTTTCCTGATACATTGTGATAGAACGGTGGACTTGCAGTACTAAGAAATACATAGAGGTTTCTGGCAGAACTTCACATGCCACCAGTGTGCATGGAAGAGAGAGCTATAAGTCAAACACTCAAACTCTGCACTTTTAGTGTGAGATTTTTCACGTGACATCAATCCCAGTCATTATGAAACATTATAGACAACTTATCAGATAAAATGACTGTAAAGTATGCTTATCAACTACAAGTATAGTTGTTGGTGTCCTTCTAGGTTGTCATATAGTTTCAGATAATGAAATGCATAAAATCTATTACTTAAAATATAAATAAATATACCTTTGGCCTGTATATATTGGGTGATACCAATTTATGCCCCAAATATGGTATTACCTGTAACTGTGAAACCACCCACAACAGATAGAAAACCACTAATCAAGAAATTGAATCAATGTTGAGATTTAGTTACAAAGTCAAAAGGTTAAAAAAAAGACATTGCGTTTCACTGAAGGTACATATGAATAAAATCATATATAATGTCTTTCTTTTTGATATATTTAATGTATTTAATGTATTTCTTTTGCTTTATTCTTTTGCTTTACAGTAGAGATGCACCAATTGGAATTTTCTTGACCCATTCCATTGTTTTGTAAGTTTAACCTGCCAGTACCACTTTTTGCACATTTTGATTTTCTTTGTATATAAAACTGATAGCATATACAAACAAAAAATGTACTTTTCTTCAATGCAAAATATTTTCATAATAAATGTAATGATTAAACTTTATAAACCAGAGTAAGCTACAGGATCTCTCGCTTAAATAATCCAAAATGAAGTGCTCTGCTGCTGATAAGAGGTACAGTTAATTAACTGACAGTGAGCTGCTGTGCTCCCACCTTTGCCTGGCATATTTTACCTTGCCAAAAAAAAAAAGCAGTTACATCACTTTCTGTTATGTTTATAACTTCAACAGATAAAAGACAATAGCCCTTTTCTTTTTTTCACTCATTTTGTTTTATCGTGTCTATGATATGGCTTCTTTATCTTCTCACATATTTACAAATTAAGGTCAGAAGTCTAGCAAGAAGGTTGCTCTAAACATATTATTAGTGTTGCTCGAGGTCTGACCTCATACAGTACGCTGACTATTGTATCATCTGTGTTGCCAGAAATGCCTCACATGCTGACTTTAAAATTGCAAAACCTGTATTTCCATATCCAGCAGTGTATATATCAACAAAATCTCACAGGGGGAAGTCACCTAGCTCAAATTAATGCAACACCTTCCACAGCCTGTGCCCTTTAAATCTATCTCTGAATGTCATTTCCCCACAAATTCCTCAGGCACTTTTATGATAACTATGCATTACTACAGGCTAACACATAATAGAAAACTTTGGCCCTCATTTATCAAATGTGCAGACAGCACACTTTAATCTCGAGTGTGTCCTTTCTGAAGTGCTAATTTGAACTCTGATATCATGCTGAAAAATGTCACAGTACAGTGAAGGTTTGATAGAATCTCCACTTCTGTGATAAAATGTAAAAACAAGATTCACTTTAGAAGAAACTTGGGATTGCAGATCTTATAAAGGCAAAGCAGACGTGGCGTTCTAGTAAATGGGCTCAGCTGTCATATGGCTTTTGGTTTCTGAGTGCCACACAAGCATATCATTGATTTTTCCCTGGTTTTTTCAACATTGCATTTTTGAGAGTGATTGATCAGTGTGTTTGCTTGCTTTCTTTAAGCCATTAATAAACACTGAAGGCCCACAAATCTCTATAGCTGGGACGGTGCTGTAAATCCAATAGTCTGAATGAATAAAAATAGTTTAAGGTATTGGACATGAGACCAGGCTCATGGTGCTTGATTACACCATGAGCTAAGTCTGCACCTCATTCATCAGGCACGAACTAATGTAATAAAAATATATTTCACCCACTTTTTCAGTTATATCCTTATTGACTGATTGCAGTGTTTGTTCTCATTATCATTAGTATTTTTTACACCCCAGGGGTTGCTTATTGCCGTCCACCTACCAATAAATTACTGTGAAGAGCCTCTGTATGACTTGGATGATTTCAACACAGTGAGAAAAGAAGTCTTAAATGCTTTAGTCTATAAATTGCTTTTCTTAGATTGTTTTAATACACAACATGTAGATGGACAAGGAAGAAATATATAGATGTCTGCTTAATGTAATCACTGCAGAGTGCAGACGGGTATCATTCATCTTTAAAGGGGGTTAGTTTGTTATGAGTGTATTTTTCTTCCTTTTTTTTTCTTACTGGCTGTAAAGTTGGCTAAAAACTCAATACTTTGTTTTCTTTAACAGACTGGGATTGTTGTAGAAGGTATGAAGTTGGAGATTGTGCTACTTGTAAAGACAAAACTTGCATCAGAGTGTATAGAATGGGTTCAGCCATCATACAGCTTTCGTTTTCTGATTGCCAGATCAGTGCAGCATTGATTTTTTTTTCTTACTTTTTATTTTTGAGAGTGAGTGATCAATGTGTTTGCCTTCTTTAAACCATTGATAAACACCAAAGACCAACAAATCTCTACAGCTGGGTTGGTGCTATAAATCCAGTAGTCTGAATGAATAAAAATACTTTATAGCATTGGAAATGAGAAATGAGACAAAATTCAAGGTGCTTGATTGCACTGGAAGCTAAGTCAGCACCTATAATAACTATGCTTGCACAGTCTATGTATGCACTGATTGTATTATTTATATTTTTTTTTTCATTTACTTTTCCCCTGACTGCTCACAATGGTCTTTTGGACAATCACAGTACATGCATTTTTCTTACTTATCAAGGGTATTGGAAGGATTTGCATTTGATGTGTGCAGCCTAAGTTTAAACTTGTCCTTCTTCCTCCATGGCTTTGTATTGATGTAGACAGCCACTCATGTAAGCCGCTCGTGCATGTGTGTTTTGTTTAATTGAAAGGGTTGCATGCTAAGTTGTCAGCTAGGTAACTTAAAGAATTGAGGATCACCTGGATACGGGGAAAGAGTCTTAGATGCAAAGATATGGATTTCTGCTTGATGTAATCAGAGAGTAGACCTGCAGGAATAATCTTTCATCTCTGAAAGCTTGAGTCTTAAGTGGTTTTTTTCTTATTTCTTTCTATTTACAGATGATGCAGCACTAATGAGCAGCCATCAGCCTTTAGATGAGTGACTCACAACAAAAACACCTGAACATCAATAGTCTACAGTAACAGTAAGAAACATTATCAGCTATCTTCCGAGCTGTCTGTGAAGTTATAATTATGTGTCGTCATGGTTATACAGCATGCTTCAATCCTCTTCCTTTGAGATCCTGCTAATTCACGTGCTTATTGTTCTGAACAGTGAATATCACTGTGACTGTGGGAGACGGTAGATGGCATATGGTAGCAATCACACCTACAGCTCTGACACATAATTCAGCTGTGTATATTCTCGTCATGGTTCCGCTGCTTTGTGATAAACGCAGACAGGAGTGAGGCGACAGTCCGATGCCATGTTCTTTTATCTTTCTTAAAAAAATGTATTTATGCTCACCGGTGACATTTTGATTTTTTTTTCCTTTAGAAGCACATCTTTCAAATTCATGCAGTGCTGGAAAATATTATAGAATGATATACATTGTTATGTTGCTGTCCATATATTCTAGGTCAGTGGTTCCCAGAAGTTTTTGAAACCCTCTCATATGCACACCTGTAAGTCACAAAATATATGAACTGACGTCGAAGGAAAATAAGCTGCATTTTTATTGCTGTGCAGATTTGGAAACGACTTAATTGCGTATTGATAATACTTGTTCATGAACTGTTCTGCTTCAGTTTTTGTTTAACGCCAGGTTTAGTCAGCTTAGACGTTGTTTGCATTCCTATCAGCTGCATTTACAGTGACAAATCTCTTCATCTCTCATGCTCAGGCAATGTTTGTGACTGCTGCTCAGTCGGAGAACCTGCCTGCCACAAACTATGTTGGTTTACCGTGATGAGCAGCCGCCGTGAGCTGTCATTACTAATATAAGCTGTTGCTTGTTAGATGTTGTCCAAACCACAAGTACCAATTTATTAATTAGTCAACTTTTATTACCTCTGGATGATGAACTGTTTATATTAAATCCTCTTGTGTGTTCAAATCATAGACTGCCTATAAAAATTGGATATATCCACTGGGAAGTCACCTGTTTTTTTTGAAGACTCAACTATGGCATTATATCTGCTTTCATTTTGTCTTTTGGGAATCATACTTGGCCGTATTTGAACAAGAGGGTAGAGTGCTAAATTATCAGCTTATGCTAGCATGGGTCCACTTTACACTGATAGATGACAATTAGTACTAGTGACACCTAAATATACCCCTTACAGCTCACTCAGCAAAACTGGATTCCTTGGAGTGGTTGTTAGTTCTGATCAGCACCCTGCAAGCAGCTCTGAACTGTTACTGAACTGTAAAAATGATGCTGCCACTACAAACACAACCAAGAGCTCAAGTTCAGTGACTCAGATTAGCTGAGGTGAAACTTGGCTGCAATTTATTTATTGAGAGGCACTAGATGTTTTTTTTGTTTTTTGTGAGAATACTTTAAGGCAATTCCACAAAAATAAGCCCTCCTCTCAACGCCTCTGACTGGGTTGTCTTTAGGGGATTAGGGTGAGTCGTAACTCTTTGGGGGATAATAAATGTTCGGTATAGGCATGGGTAAATAAAAGTAACAGTAGGGCCAGAACCACTGAGACAGTAACTTCTCCCATTTTGCACAGGGTCTGACTGTAACTGGTTTGGGATTGACAAATCATTAGCCATCCTGCTCCGTCCTGCATGCCTAAGTATCCTTGGGATTTTGTCCTCTGATGCCTTTATTGAAGTATGAATGAATAGACAGAAAGCACTTGGGTAGAAAAAGCACAGAAAAAAGTGATTGTATGGACAGGTGAAAGAGATGTTGTATAAAGTGCTTTGAGTGATCAAGTAGAGTTGACAAGCACTACTTGAGAACCAGTCTATTTGCCATTTACAAAGTAGAACCTTTTCTATTCACTGTGGCACAAAATGAGTGTTTACAGAGGTGAGGTCAGAAAGCTGCTCTCCTGTATGCTTCTGTAGGACTGGAGATTTTTTTTACAACCACAGCTATCGCTATCTGGTGGCCTCCAGATAAGATGCAAGTTAGTCTTAGAGCTCTTTCTTTTCTTTCTCTTTTTTTCTTTTAATATTCATTTCTATTATCAGTATTCTTCAGTAAAAATCAAAGATAAAATCATGATCCCAAGAAAAAAGCTTTTACAACAAAGCTTTCTTACTCTTTGAGCTAAAAAGTCTAAACAAATACTGCAAGCAGCCTAAAGCTACTTAGAATACGATGACCTGGATGACTGAGAACCTTCACAGACATTTAGGCTGCTTCCTTATTCTGATGGGATCACTTCCTGACCCAGCCCCCAAGGGATTTGGGTATCCTCCGGAGACTGACCCAGGAGTCAGTCTTGTTAGGTGAATGTGTAAACCTCTGCAAGGTATTATTTTGGAGACAGTCTGGGCAGATGGGGTCTGATATGCAGACAGTCAGGACATGACGATAAAGATGAAGAAGACTTTCTGTAAAGCTGTAGTTTTGATGGGTTTTGGCATTTATTTTTTTAAAGCTAGACTTTAGAGTAGCATCCCTCTGTGGCAGCACCTTACTTATGAATTAAAGTTGGAGACTTTTTATTTTAAAAGTGAATCATTCATCTTATAAGAGCAATTTAAGCTTCTGTTGACCTTTTGGTTCATATTGAGTGCTTTGCCTTGTAGGACTTTTTGAGTGTTTGTGAGAGTAAACATAATCCTTTCCCTGCTTTCTAATGTAGTCAGTACTTTTAGAGCAGTTACTAACAGTAAAATATGGCCTTGTATAAATGACTTTGGCTTGATTTTATGTTGAAGCAGGAGAATGTCTTATCATGCAGAAACAGGGGTGTAGATTAGAGGTAAATTATTGAGATAGAGTTGGATCATAAATGAATCCTTCTTTAAGATTTACGAGTGTGTCACCGCTAATAAAGGAGGGTTTGAATTCCTGTGAAAAATGCCTGCAATCCAGAGGCAATTGAAAATATAATGACTACCTGCTATTGTGTACTGCATTGCTCACTATGGGTTTCTGTCCATTCTATTGGTTTCTGTATTTTTTTCCAAAATGATCGTGCTTTTAAACTTGAATTTTCGCTTTATTTGAAGAGCGTTGGAGGGTCTGAATATTGTGAAACCTGGAGCGATTAAAGGGGAGAAAATGCCAGTGCTGGACAAAAACAGTGGACATACTTGTCGCTGGCTGGGATGCAGTATAAGCATTAATTCATCATCGCTTTAGATGATGGCTCTAGACAGATCTGTACAGTCTTTATCCAAACACTCTGGAGAAGCTGCCATGCCCCTTCAGATATACAGTGCTTGCTCAGCTGTTTCCTTTCCCCAGGAATTCACATTTACTTTCCAGTCAGAACCAAGGCTCCTCCATCGGAGCTTAAACTAGAGAATCTGCTCCCCTCACACCTAAATCACATATGCGCTATTTTACGAAATGAAACTCTTGCATGCATTCAAGGAAGTGAACCAATTGTAGATTGTTCTGGGCGGTCTAAAAAAGTTAGAAAATGCACCCACTAATGGGTCTAAAGTTAAAATTCAATCTGTGGTTTTTGGAGGAGTGGTGTGTTACTGTAGAACTATTCTAGCCTGGGTTGCCAGATACTGTGTACAGATTAAGCACAGGTTTTGGTTTCCCCACAGTCCACATTGTGAACATGAATGTGGTGACAGGCATTTGGGAAGCTGTTCATAAGCTCTTTGACCAGCTGTAGTTTGCCAAAAAATGTCCTTTGTATTATATTTTCTTCCACAAACACAATGATGCAAAATTCTTATGCATGCCAGACCATTTGAAACTCTTTCCCATAACATTATGACATAAGCAGTACTAGCTTTGTGGGCACATTATTGAAAATGTCAGGAAATCGTTTCGACCTTCTGAGTTGCCAATTTAGATTAAGGTTTTGCATTGCAGTTAGGATTTTAGGCTGGGAATTCGTGGGATGTGAAAACTACAGCACTAAAAAGGCTTTATTACATTAATGCTGTAATAGGATTCTAGTTTGAAGTTTTCTTGAGCGTTTACTCCCCGTTGTTTCCCATCAAGTAATTCTTTGTAGACTTCTCTTAACTACATTTTGGTGGCGGGTTGTCTGTATTCTTTCAGATTACATGACTCTGTTTTTATTACAGTGGAGGATTTTGAGTTCATTTTAGGCTGTATGACCCCATATGGAAAAGATATATATAAATCTTTTAAAGGTTGTATCTGTCTTGTGTGAAACTTGTATGAAAAGCATATAAGAGTGAAAACAGATATAAGATCCCTTGAAAAATTATTTAATGAAACTTGTATGTTTTGGCCGCCTTATTGATTTACTAATGAAAGTGGCCACTTTCATTAGTAATCACATATAAGTTTTTACTATTTCTTTTCCATATGGGACTATTCTGGATTCAACTCAGAGCTATACATTTTAGTAGCCTTATTCTCTGAAAGGTGAAGGTCTGTGATTTAATTTCTAGGTTCTACTTTTAGCAAGTATACAGAGTCTGCATAAATAGTTTTTGGGTTTCTCTTTTTAACCTACGCAGATGTAGAGTTCATTGTCTGTAGATTGGTTGATTGAATCACAGTGCTTGCTGTGGACCAAAGCTTCCCCTTGTACTGATTTTGATGGTCACTGTAACCTCATATCTATCTCATTCTTGTGAATATAATACCCCAGGTGCATCTGGAGGGAATAGAATTACTTTTCACACAAAGGTTGACTTCCATTCATTTTGAAATTGGTACAATCTTGGTAGATGTTTTATATCCCCCAAAACAGTTATGGCCAAATTTATTAATTAGTATAAATTTAAACATAATTCCAGAATTTATTTGCTAATTATGACAAAATTTCAATGCAAATGTACAAAAATTATGAAGTGATGATATTTTATTTTAACATGCAACATGATTTGCAAAAATGCAGTACTGGGCAAATGTCTTCAGCTGCCCCTCATTTCTTTATATTTTGGTCCCAAAGAGCCAACAGACAGGTACAACAAAGAGTTTCTACAACCACCTATAAAACATGGTGGTGGCTGCATTTCAGCCAGTGTTATTGGAGATCTTGTAACAACTGATAGAATTTGAAAATTACATGA